TGCTGACTCCATCATGTGGAGGCAGTGATTTTCATGTATCCCAGTCAGTCACGGCTAACACCCCATGCTCTGAGATTCCTCAGCTAATGTTAGGACTGAGTCTTACGACTTTATGTCCATATGACTACACGTCCTGAAACGTGTGCCGCTGGTGGTCATCTACCCGTGGGCACGTGAGGGGGACAGACCTCGATGTCAGCAACGCCCTGGCCTTACCGATCATCGGCTGGAGGATATTTTCTAACACCCGAACGAGCTGCTGGTAGATCTGAATGGCCAAGTCACTTAGCACCTGCCGGTACTCAGCCAGGTCAAAATTGGTGAGGCAGTGTTCATTCTGGCGAGACGTGTTGTGTTTCATAAAGCCCTAGAGCCGGAATGCAGAGTTAACGGCATACACGAAGTAACCCTCTCGTTGGATCCGTATCCTCCTGCTCTTCTTCTCTCTCTGAAGAGTTCCCATCCATCCCACACAGAAATGCCAGGGTAATCATTCTCAACATTGTATATTTGTTTCCATCATAAAAGCTCCACTTCTTACCAGCTTTTGAATAGTATCTAAACTTGGCAACCTAGCATTTAAGCCTCTCCAATAGCAATGTCAATGAAACAAGATGGGGTAATTCAATTCAAAAAAAATTTAATGAGTGTTTTCACTTATGACACAGGAGGTTTACTGCCAAACACTGAATTACCTAAAGTACCAACCTCTTAAATTTCAGTTTGTTAAATATAGTCACATTTATAAATACCGCACCCAAAGGGCATACATAATCTTCTTAAAATAGACCAATTTCTACAGAGACTGGTGAATAAATAAAAAATTTCCTTTTCATGGTATCCACACAAGATTTGCAGTCTGAGCTTAGAACGGCATCCTTTGGTGGTATTTGTGAAACTGGAAAGCCAACTGTACAAGCAGGTACATCTGTCAGACACTGCCTGACAAAGCGAAGCCTGCTGGATGGATTCCACCCACAGTCAAGCATCTGCCTCCCTTTAACCTACTTCACGACACGGTCTAGAGGTGGGAAGGAAGACAGTTAGTTAACGGGCCCTCTGGGGGACTCTGGTCTGTCAGTCCCACCTTCTCAGGGACCACATCTTGCTCATATTTGTATTTCCCATCATTTGCCAGGACAGCCCTCTGCCCCTAGCCTCTGTCTGGGTGCTGAGAAAGGTGCTACTGCTCAGCTTCTCAGCCCACCCTCCCGGCAAAGGATGGGGAGGCGTGGATGGTAGTGATCAGGGGCACAGGCTCTCGGAGGTGGGCAGACCTGGGGATCCCAGGGCTGCTGCTTACGGCTGAGAGGACTTGGGCAAACTGATGAACTTTACTGAACTTAAGTTTCCTCATCTGTAAAACTGAGTTATAATTCCTGCCTCATAGAAATGTTCTAAAAATTCAATAACATAATATATAGTATGTGCTATCTGATATATATCTGATATTCAGCAGCCCTTAATAAATAGTAATTATTAATATATTATAGTTCTAAAATATTAAGTCTGTCAAACTACTGATGAATATATCACTATAAACAAAAGCAAAACAGATTTTTGGACAAATCTAAAGAGACATGTCTAAATTTATCACCTTTAATGTCTTATAGTAAGCTGAAATTAATTTTAAAAAATGGTTCAGTATTCCCGTATTAGTCCTTGAAAACCCCACTTCCACATATTGGCAAAAAATTGCATTGTTACATCTATTCATTGACCAATGCTCATTTTATTTCTTCTGTGTTTTCTCATAATACAAACTCTCAGAGGGAAGAAACTGTATTATTCCCCAAAGTCACTATTCTGCAAATAATGTACATCAAAGCTATGAACTTCCAAGCCACCTCTGAATTCAGGTTTCTAAATTAACAAACGGTTAAAAATTTTGTGCTTTTAAATTTTCCTTAAAAAGGTCAAAGAAAGTATAGCATGCTGGTTTTGTAATCAAGGTTTTCTCACCTCTTCTCCACTGTACTGCTTCAAACAGTGCAAAAATCGGCATGTGTTAGAAAGCCAGAAGGAGACAGTTTCAAAATCATCACCTCGTTTCTGAAAGAGAGAATTAATTCTAAATTCGTTTTTTCCTTAGAGAAATAACCTGAAAATAACCGAACAGATACCAGAAGGCCCATTTCTTGCAGTTACCATTATAAACAATTATAAAAATAAATGAA